TGGCTAACGGCGAAAATATGATATTTTGACTATTATACAAATGAAGAGATGAACTATTTTAATGGCCGATAAAAGACACTACTAGTAGTGGTGATTTAAGACTAGATGAGGGCTATATGCGAAGATACTTAACTGTGTTTCTAATAAGGTAAGAAGGCATTTATTTAAAGCCACACTTCGACGGTTATTTATGCGATAGTCTCCCTATTTACGTCAGCGTCTATGGCTTAGGCGTTGCGAACGCGCTTTGTAATGCCAGGGTGACGGGTTCAATCCCAGGTGAGGACGATTTTTCTTGCGTTGGTTTCGACAGTGGTACCGAGCGCTGACCGTTCAGTGGCAAAGGCAAACTACTGAATGTCACATTTTCCTAGAAACACCACAACAGCCAAAAAAGGCTGGGGTTGGTTCTGCAAAGTCCTGTAAAGGATACGCAACTAACTCCCAATTTCCACACCACCGATTGTAGGTCAACTCCATTAATAAGTTGGTTGGACTAGTCTACCGTGGTCGAGGTTATGGGTGTCGCAGTCTGTTGTTGTCTGGCATTTTTGTTTAAATTTCCGAGAAAGAGGCGGCCTGTGACATAGATTTTGTCACTCTCTAGGGGGTTGTGTGTTAGACCCAGTATCCTAATATTTTAGAAGTGTTAAAAGCTCTAGTAGGTTGAAATATACAACACGCGTTATGAGCACGAGTGCGGAATATTCCCGTGACCTTCTGTTTAAGTTGGATCGCTTGAGGCCGACCTATCAGGAGTGAGGTGGTCAGTAGGTCGTTTAATCAGAAGCGAGCTAGTGTGCAGCCGTGAGTAAATGGAGAGACCAGCCTCAAATTTACCGACTCCATCAGTCGTCAGGAGGCCCGAAAATACCCTGTACATCCTGTTACCCTGTCAGTAACTATAGCTTTCAATGTTTGTGTTGTCTAGTGTGTTCTATCTTTCTACTTCTTTTCGTGGTCTTGGAGCATAGTGTCCGCCTCCAGTGCTAGAGGTTCCGAGTCCAATCCTCAGTAACGGCTGGGATTATTTCACATGGACTTGGACTTTTACTAATTCCACCTAGTCTCTGGGTAGTAAGATCGGACGCCCGTGTGCATTGTTAAGCACATTAAAAAAAATCCCTTGGCAGTTGGAAATCGAAAAAAAAAAATCCTAACGGCGCTGCCCGTGCAAAAGTTGGCGTTAAAATGCTACCCAAGGTATTTCAGGATCCTCGCCGGTGCTGCAGAGGCTGTGCACTGTTTTGAACTACTTTGGACTCAGACTTGAGTTAGAAGAAGAACGGAGCACTTATGGGTGTGCCACGACTTTGATCTGTTATTCAAACTTCAAACCTCTTTTTATAATTGCTGATTAATACATTATCAGCTCATTTTTTTACATTTAATATTCATACGGACCCAAGGGTTTCCCTTCCGTTTATTTAAGTGAATGACCTAATATACTCTAACGGTTGTACTGAGTTTCTGTGCCTTGCGCCGGGTGGATTCTCATCCGAATGGTGGCTTTTTAGTCTCCCGATGTTTATTCCTGGTTGTGTGTTCCTGGTGGTGTTAAACATCTCTCTCTTCTCTCTCTCTCTTTCTCTCTCTCTTTCTCTCTCTCTTTCTCTCTCTCTCTCTGTCTCTGTCTGTCTGTCTCTCTCTCTCTCTCTCTCTCTCTCTCTCTGCTCTCTCTCTCTCTCTGCTCTCTCTCTCTCGCGTGAATGTACATAAATGTTGTGGTTTATTTATAAAATGCCCTAATACAGAGCAGGTTCTTATTTTGAAAGTCGATATCACGTGACGGTGGTATTGTTGTCGATCCGTAACATTCGGTATCGTCTACTTTCAGTCCATTCTGACACAGATGATCTTCCATGCCATGATGTCAAACTGATCAGCATTCCCTCCTGTCTCTCTCTCTCTCTCTCTCTCTCTCTCTCTCTCTCTCTCTCTCTCTCTCTCTCTCTCTCTGTCTCCCTCTGCCTTTTTTCTCCTTCAACTTTCTCGGCGTCACAATGTACTCTAGTTGTCTCCTTCTCATGACATAAAGAGAGAAGGTAGATTGTCTCCTTCTGATACGGGCATTCTGGTAGATTGTCTCCTTCTCATGACATAAAGAGAGAAGGTAGATTGTCTCCTTCTCATGACATAAAGAGAGAAAGTAGATTGTCTCCTTCTCATGACATAAAGAGAGAAGGTAGATTGTCTCCTTCTGGTGCGGGCATTCTGGTAGAGTGTCTCTTTCTGATACGGGCATTCTGGTAGATTGTCTCCTTCTGGTGCGGGCATTCTGGTAGATTGTCTCCTTCTGGTGCGGGCATTCTGGTAGATTGTCTCCTTCTGGTGCGGGCATTCTGGTAGATTGTCTCCTTCTGGTGCGGACATTCTGGTAGATTGTCTCCTTCTGGTGCGGGCATTCTGGTAGAGTGTCTCCTTCTGGTGCGGTCATTCTGGTAGAGTGTCTCCTTCTGGTGCGGGCATTCTGGTAGAGTGTCTCCTTCTGGTGCGGGCATTCTGGTAGAGTGTCTCCTTCTGGTGCGGGCATTTTGGACACTTTAAAGGTAGAGGGCTAATTTGCTACCGCAGCGACAATATAAAACCATACCTCACAACACCTGTTGCGAAGTCACCATATCTTCTTGTCCCTCTCCGAGAGTCCAAAAAAGTGCAGCAGGGGAAGATGGAGGTCTGTCTTCATGGACGGATCACCTTTCAAGATTGTATAGAAAGTATAGGACAGAAACAATCGTCGACAAAAGAACTTTCTACTGGTGATCGTTTGACTCCTGCTGTGCATGCTCCCCTGTGGAGGTCTTATTATCTATATATATATAAAAATCAATGTTTGTGTGTTTGTTTGCCCCTTATAGACTCGGAAACTACTGAACCGATTTAGCTGAAATTTTCAGGATATGTTTGTTTTGATACCGGATGTTGAACCATCATGGTTTGAAATTCAACCTGTCACTGCTAGAGATAGGTGACCACAATTTAAGCCATAATATTCGAAACTAATATTTATAATTTTAGTGATTTCTAATTATAGCCACTTTAGTAATTGCGCATGCGAGGTATTCAGAACGCAAGGCTTCCATCATTTGCCGGCGTGTTACGTGCAGCCAACGCCTTCTCTAATACATAGAGTAGGTCGTGGTACAGCAAACAAGACTATCTCTATATTTGCCACAATAACCATATTAAACACGATTTCTATTTTCTGGTGTGTTTTTTTTCCAAACAACCTTCGATGACGAGGACGGGGGCGGGGGGCATCAAGGACTATCTCGAAATCGGCGCAGACATTGACTGCGGCATTACCTTCCTTAACCGTGTTAGACATGTGCGATTTCTATTGTTGTGCCGTTTCATTAATATATCTGGAGTATCTGTCTACGAGAAAACAATTGCCTGCGGTTTTGAGTTGTGTTATAATCGGGACACAGTAGTAGGGACACACATCTCTAATAGTTAAGTTCTCTTTTCATTGATGTGATTAAGTGGCTGCTTGGTCGAATGGTTAGAACACTGGGTTCCTGTGCGGGAGACCAGGGTTCGAATCCGCAGTAGGTAATTTTTTTACCCCAGACTAAAATAATATCCCCATCTGCTCTGTCGTGGTGACAGCACTAGCCATGTTGCCTTAATACTTTAAAAAAAAAGACAAGTAAATGGGTAAACCATTTGATAATTAAATTTGACCATTTCGTATGCTTATGATTGCATGTTTAAACTTTCCGATTGCATGGTTACGCTGAAATTTCATAGATTTCCATTTATTTTCATTTAGATTTAGTTATTTCATCTTCGTTGGAATTTTAAGCTGTACTGTTTACCATGGCGTTCATTTCCTAATTATGGTTTTTTTTTTTTCTGTGTTTATTTGCTTTTCAGGTGTGTTTTTTTCTCCCAACTACTTCAATGAGGGAAAGAGTTGTCGGTGAATTTAGGGGGGAGGGGGGAATACTATTAAATGAGAGAGCTTTAAGTCACAGTAACTGCTTTACCCACTTAAAGTAGCAGCAGCAGTAATACTAATTGTTGTGGTTGGGCTGTTACACCATAGTGCTCTCATGTGAAGACCGCCGGTAAGGTATGGCGTTCTTCTGTCGGGAAGTGAAATTATACATCCTAACCTGACCAGTCTGTGGCGACAGCACTAGCCATGCGGAACCAAATCTTCTGGCTCACGATTCTCTGTCTACTCCGATAGTAACACAGATAGCAGTGACATTATTTTAGCTACCGTGGTGGTGGTCGTGGTAGTAGTTGTACTGTTACTTGAAGGATGATGTGGTAAATATTACACTAGCCCCATTCACTACCTATTACAATTCCTGCTCCCCATTTTAGTCCAGATGGACAGGGATGTCAATGTCAGTTACAGCAACAACAAAATATCGCCAGGTAGTGATTTTCAAATCCTTCGAAGAGGGAGAGAGCAGTAGTCGGTGGAAGAGGGGAAGGAAGGGGTTAAGAGAACTTAAAGAGCTTTACACGTGATTTTTAAATTCTCATTACCTAATTTGTTTATATTTTACTAACGCTACCTCCGCTTTTCTATTTTTTACGACTTACTTTGTTATTCACAAGTACAGTTGTAGCTTTACTTCCGTCCCCTATAAAAATACAAACAGCTTTAGCATGTGATAACCAAATAACCATTTTTGTTACTGTGCTAATAACACCATTTAAACTACCACTAATATAAAGACACAATTATACGGTTATAAAGTTGGAAAACCACACTATCTCTATATCTGTGCAGAGAATGATTGCGACATTAACTATATTAGACACGAGCGATTTCCATTGTCTTTCTTTTCCAAAAACCTTTGATGAGGGAGAGAGTAGTAGGTGGATTTAGTTGTAGTGGTGGTGGGGGGGGGGGGGCGGGGATCAAAGGCTATATCTATATCTGAGCAGACAATGATTGTATGAAACGCGTGCGATTTCCATTTTCTTTCATTTCCATTTAGCCAAACTATGCCACAGCAACGCGTGGCCGGGCACAGCTAGTTATTAATATTTTTGACCAGCTGGCACTCGGTAGGTGATGTGGTCAATGTTGGTGATGTGGTCAATGTTGGTGATGTGGTCAGTGTTGGTGATGTGGTCATAGTTGGTGATGTGGTCAATGTTGGTGATGTGGTCATAGTTGGTGATGTGGTCATAGTTGGTGATGTGGTCATTGTCGGTGATGTGGTCAATGTTGGTGATGTGGTCAGTGTTAGTGATGTGGTCATTATTGGTGATGTGGTCATAGTTGTTGATGTGGTCATAGTTGGTGATGTGGTTAATGTTGGTGGTGTGGTCAGTGTTGGTGATGCGGTCATAGTTGGTGATGTGGTCATAGTTGGTGATGTGGTCATAGTTGGTGATGTGGTCATTGTTGGTGATGTGGTCAATGTTGGTGATGTGGTCATAGTTGGTGATGTGGTCAATGTTGGTGATGTGGTCATAGTTGGTGATGTGGTCATAGTTGGTGATGTGGTCCTAGTTGGTGATGTGCTCATTGTTGGTGATGTGGTCATAGTTGGTGATGTGGTCCTAGTTGGTGATGTGTTCATTGTTGGTGATGTGGTCATAGTTGGTGATGTGGTCATTGTTGGTGATGTGGTCATAATTGGTGATGTGGTCATTGTTGGTGATGTGGTCATAATTGGTGATGTGGTCATTGTTGGTGATGTGGTCATAGTTGGTGATGTGGTCATAGTTGGTGATGTGGTCATTGTTGGTGATGTGGTCATTGTTGGTGATGTGGTCATAGTTGGTGATGTGGTCATAATTGGTGATGTGGTCATAGTTGGTGATGTGGTTGATGTGATCAACCATTTACCGCTGCGTCGAACTGGGAGCAAATGACACTTTAAAAAAATAGCCCAGCTCCGTCAGGACCTAAACTCACGACCGCGGGACCAGCAGGCGTGCATCTAGCCGCTACACCACGACAGCTCCATGAGTAAACTGCACGGGGACACATACAGAGCACGCACTGAAGAGAATGATGCAGCCAGGAGTGACCAGGGGTTTAATACTCAGGGGAGGGGCGAGGCGGACGCACGATCACACCACTGTTGCTGTTAGTATGGAAATTAGAGCTCTGAGCTTTGCTGCTGAAGATGGGGACAGAGTGCTTATATGAATATCCAGAGTGATATGCTATGGTTTCTTAGCTCAACAAGTAAACAAAAATTTGCACATTGTATTTTAATCCAAATATTACCGGACGGTTGCAGAATTCCTTCAGTAGTTTGTAGAAATTGCAAATGCTGACACAATTGATCGATCGGTTGAGAAGAGGCCGGCGATATGACATCACAAGCTCTGGTATATTGCCACAATGACGTCAAAAGCATTGAAAATGAGCGCGTCACGGACGGATGACTCTTTGAGAGTCTGCTTATTGAGTGCAGTCAATGTCAGAACGAACCAAATAAATGAACACAAAATGAGTGCTGAATGGTGAATTAAGAATCAACATGACAACCCTCAGGATACTTCCATAGGTGCTCATTCCCCATCCTCAGCAGAAAGCGAAGAGTTCCAATTCCTATGGTACTAGTAACAGTCAGATTGTATATCCGTCTCATCCTTCCCCACGAGTGGTGAGCGTCGGCCAGATCCCCTGGTAACTCCTCGCAGTGCCATTCTACTTAGACCGTAATCATCTATCTGCGCCTCCGCACTATTCACTCGCTCACAAAGGGCCCTCACAATATCTAACTTGTCGTACAACAATTCACCACCAAGTAAGTGGAACTGAATTAAAACCGGACAAAGTAGCAGTAGGGACATTCGCTTAAACGCTCTGACGCCATCTTCAGAGTTCCGACCCCAATGGTATGAATAGTGGTTTAATTATGTGGCCGAATTTCTTCTCTGTGTTGTGTTGAGCATGGATGGGCAAACTATGGCCATCAAACCAAAGGTGGCCTGCCGAGCACTTGCGACTGGCCCGCGAGACTGGTGTACAAACAGTACAATCTGATGCTTGAGCTCACAAAACAGCAAAAAAAAAAAAAAAACATTAATCGTATATAAAGGGCTGAAGTCCCAGGTTCAATCCGCGGTAAGGACTGGGATTTTGTCACGTGGACTTGGACGTCTAGTAATTCACCCTGGTCTCTGGGTAGTGAGATCGGACGCCCGTGTGCATTGCTGCGAACGTGACAAATGCCTTGGCAGTTGAAAATCGCAAAGAGCGAGCTAACGGTGTTGTCCGGGTGTTTAAAATCTACATAAAGTATTTCCTAATCCTCGCCTGTGCTACAGAACCTGTGCATTGTGCTGAGGTTTTTTGGACTCAGACTTGGGTGAGAGGAAGAACGAAGCACTTATGGTTTACTACCCGTGTGCCGTGATGTTCATCTGTTGTTCAAACGTCAAACCTCAGTTCGTATAGTTAGATGCGTATCCTTTTAAGGACGTTGCAAAACCAACCTAAGCATTGGGGGGGGGGGGGGGGGGCTGTTGTAGTTTATCTAGTCAAGTTTACGTCCAGTAGTTTGCCATTTCTTTCTAGACGGTCGACTTCTCGATACCACTGTAGAAACCAACGCAAGGCGCAAGGTCAGCAGCTGGAATCGAGCCCGACACCCCTGCGTTACGAAGCGCGTTCGCAACGCCTAAGCCACAAGCACTGACTATCTGTTCTTATGCAGAAAGAAAAAAATAACATAAATACAAAACAAAAGTAAAATTGATAACCTAAAACTGGTGGGCAGAAACTATTGCTTTGACCCTGCTGATGAAACACGTGCTGCGTCGTGTTGCGTATCACACTATTCACCGTCCTTTTCAGGATGCAATGTTTCGTTATTTAAAGCCCTACTCTGTCTCTTGCCAGGGGCCGCAATATAGCCCGGCCATAAATATGGTCTAATGGCTGAACGCGGTTTCTGGGACCTCTCCACGGTGATCCTCATCCACATGGTAGCATATTGTGTCATCGGGTGTTTATCGCTTGTGTGATTACCTAGTGGGGTAGAAAGTCAGTTATTCAGACACGTGTTGCAGACAAACTAAGACCAGATTCAGATAGAATTTTGCAGGATATTCAAACACAATCGCAATGCTGATCTGTAAGTTTCCTATTTAAACATTTTTTAATACCATATTTGTCTGTCTACCTGTTACATCGTTTCTCTCTCTCTCTCTCTCTCTCTCTCTCTCTCTCTCTCTCTCTCTCTCTCTCTCTCTCTCACCTCTTCTCTATCTATATGTCTGTCTGTCTGTCTGTCTGTCTGTCTGTCTGTCTGTCTGTCTGTCTGTCTGTCTGTCTGTCTGTCTGTCTGTCTGTCTGTCTGTCTGTCTGTCTGTCTGTCTGTCTGTCTGTCTGTCTGTCCTATCTATCTAACTATCTAACTATCTATCTAACTATCTATCTATCTATCTATCTATCTATCTATCTATCTATCTATCTATCTATCTATCTATCTATCTATCTATCTATCTATCTATCTATCTATCTATCTATCTATCTATCTATCTATCTATCTATCTATCTATCTATCTATCTATCTATCTATCTATCTATCTATCTATCTATCTATCTATCTATCTATCTATCTATCTATCTATCTATCTATCTGTCTATCTGTCTATCTGTCTATCTGTCTATCTGTCTATCTGTCTATCTGTCTATCTGTCTATCTGTCTATCTGTCTATCTGTCTATCTGTCTAATCCAGCTAATCCAGCTAATCCAGCTAATCCAGCTAATCCAGCTAATCCAGCTAATCCAGCTAATCCAGCTAATCCAGCTAATCCAGCTAATCCAGCTAATCCAGCTAATCCAGCTAATCTATCTAATCTATCTAATCTATCTAATCTAATCTATCTAATCTAATCTATCTAATCTAATCTATCTAATCTAATCTATCTAATCTAATCTAATCTAATCTATCTAATCTAATCTATCTAATCTAATCTATCTAATCTAATCTATCTAATCTAATCTATCTAATCTAATCTATCTAATCTAATCTATCTAATCTAATCTATCTAATCTAATCTATCTAATCTAATCTATCTAATCTAATCTATCTAATCTAATCTATCTAATCTAATCTATCTAATCTAATCTATCTAATCTAATCTATCTAATCTAATCTATCTAATCTAATCTATCTAATCTAATCTATCTAATCTATCTAATCTAATCTATCTAATCTAATCTATCTAATCTAATCTATCTAATCTAATCTATCTAATCTAATCTATCTAATCTAATCTATCTAATCTATCTAATCTATCTAATCTACCTAATCTAATCTATCTAATCTATCTAATCTATCTAATCTATCTAATCTATCTAATCTATCTAATATATCTAATCTATCTAATCTAATCTATCTAATCTAATCTATCTAATCTATCTAATCTATCTAATCTATCTATCTATCTATCTATCTATCTATCTATCTATCTATCTATCTATCTATCTATCTATCTATCTATCTATCTATCTATCTATCTATCTATCTATCTATCTATCTATCTATCTATCTATCTATCTATCTATCTATCTATCTATCTATCTATCTATCTATCTATCTATCTATCTAATCTATCTATCTATCTATCTATCTATCTATCTATCTATCTATCTATCTATCTATCTATCTATCTATCTATCTATCTATCTATCTATCTATCTATCTATCTATCTATCTATCTATCTATCTATCTATCTATTCTGCGCTTCAATACCCATCCACCCCCCCCCCTCCCCCTTGCCCATTGCCACCAAAAATGTTCCTCAATAATATGATTTATGCAGTTAACCAGCTTTAACATACACGTTTAGGAATATATAGAAGCGCTTCTGTTTGGTTTGTTTAAGTGGCCAAATGCGTAGAAAGGGATTCAAGGTTAGTTACGTATCCTTTACAGGACGTTGCAGAACCAACCCCTATTGGTTTTTCTAGGCAATTTACGTCCAGTAGTTTGCCATTGCTTTCTGGACGGTCGGTTTTCTTCATACCACTGTAAAACCAACGCTAGGCCCATGTCCCGCAGCAGGGATCGAACCCGGCACCCCGGCATTACGAAGCGTTCGCATCGACTTAGCCACAGAGCCGACTATGAGTTTGGTGAGGTTAGTTGCGTTTCCTTTACAGGACGTTGCAGGACCACAGGAGCGGAGCAACTGTGGGTGACCCGTTTGCCATGAAGCTGAAACTAGGATTACCAGATTACCAGATTACCTGATTTCTTGATACCGCTGTCGAAACCAACGCTAGGCGCATGGCCCGCAGCTGGAATCGAACCAGGCATCCCGGCATTAGGAAGCGTTTGCATCGACTTAGCCACAGAGCCGACAGAAAGGGATTATAATATTAAAATATCCCACAGAAATAATGTGTTACGAGAAAATCCGGGTGTTACATTTATAATAGAATTTTTGCAATTTTCTCTCAATAACATGGTTTGTGTCAATAACAAGCTTTGTCACACACACTTAGGAAGATATCGAAGGCTTCAGTGGGTGAATGTGTCTGGCCAGAGGCGTAGCGAGGGTTAGATTATCCCACACGAAGACCTGTTTCGAGGAAATCGGGGTGTTTTTTTTTTATAATGGTTTTATTTTATTTTTTTCTATGTGACCCGCGACCAAATTGGTAATTCTTCTTTCTTGCTTCCTCTTCTTCTTCTTCTTCTTTGTCACGATACGATCTCAGTGATTCCAGAAGTTAGTACTTGTAATAAGTTCTTCTGGTTATTGAGAGACAAGAGACTATGCCCTTAAACCAAATGTTACTTTA